TGAAATATTTTTTATTACAGGAAGAATATCGTAAGTTGCAGTGGGCGCATCTTCCAAAGCTGAGAAAAAATTTTTATCAAGAAGTCAAGGAAATCGCTGTTATGACAGAGGAAGAAGTCAATGAAATGCGTTTAGTAAACAACAATATAATTGTTTCACGTTTAAAAACAAGTGAAGATCAAATGTGTCTTGATATACCGAAACCAATATACAAATTCGACCACTGTTTCAAAGATTATCCTGATATACTTGATGAGTTGAAGAAACAAAACTTTACGGAACCATCTCCTATACAAAAGCAAGCATGGCCTATATTATTGAGAGGCGAGGATATGATAGGTATTGCCCAAACAGGAACTGGAAAAACTTTAGCATTTCTGCTTCCTGCTTTGATTCATACTGATGGACAGACTACACCACGTGCGAAACGCAATGGTCCAAATATATTAATTTTAGCTCCAACACGCGAATTAGCACAGCAAATAGCAAAAGAAGTTAACAAGTACTCGTTCCGTGGAATAAAAGCGTAAGTTAAGAAATAATTTAAAACAAATGAATAAAAAAATAAGCAATAATGAAATTCTTATTCAGTGTATGTATTTATGGTGGTGGCAGTCGTCGTGACCAGATTAGAGATTTCAGAGAAGGAGCTGAATGCATAATTTGTACGCCTGGACGTCTTAATGATTTGGTTCAAGCTAAAGTTGTAGATATTACATCGGTTACATATTTAATATTAGACGAAGCGGACCGTATGCTGGATATGGGTTTCGAGCCACAGATTCGAAAAGTTCTACTTGACATACGCCCTGACAGGCAGACCGTCATGACTAGTGCCACCTGGCCACCATGTGTTAGTAGATTGGCCGAAACCTATATGAACAATCCTATACAGGTATGGGTTGGCTCACTTGATTTAACTGCCACTCATTCTGTGACTCAAAATGTAGAACTCGTGGATGATGCGGACAAATTTAATACGGTAATATTATTTGAAAAGTTAAATAAAGAAAACTTTGAAGAAAAATGTATTTGTTCCTGTTACAGGTCCTGGCATTTTTAGAAAACCTTAAATCAAGCGATAAAGTTATTATCTTCTGTTCTAAACGAGCTCGTGCTGACGACTTGTCTAGTGATTTATCTCTGAAAGGCCTGTTAACACAATGTATACATGGTTCTCGTGATCAGGTACATAATACATTAGTTTTATTAGAGTAATGCCTCTGTGCATAAGATTCTTATAAACTCAAACAAATTTTCTTTAGGCCGATCGAGAACAAGCACTGGCTGATCTAACCTCAGGTGACATACAAATTTTAATAGCAACAGACGTTGCTTCAAGAGGTTTAGACATTGAAGACATCACGTAAGTGCTTAGTAGTATTAAAAACCGAAGTTGTGAAAAATTTTTTTTTCTTAGTCATGTTATTAATTTTGATTTTCCGCGTAACATTGAGGAGTATGTTCATCGTGTTGGTAGAACTGGACGCGCTGGGCGAACCGGCACTGCCATAAGTTATATAACACGCTCGGATTGGGCTATTGCAAAGGATCTCATTCGTATTTTGGAAGAAGCTGGCCAAGCAGTTCCAAAAGAACTATACGGAATGTCCAATCGCTTTGACGAGATGAAAAAAAGACGTGGTAAAGATTTTAAAATGGGTAGTCATTTTAATCCTTTTTTTAAACACAGTACACCGTAGTGGTACTCATTTTTAAGATTAACTTAGAAACAGTTAACTTAGTAACTTGACCACAACATTGCATTTTGTTTTTCACATTACATCTTAAATAACCGCAATGTTTGATTCAAATCGATCAGTGTTTTACTTAAATGAACGTTGATCGCTAAAAATTAAAAATAATTAAAAAACTGTTTCTAATGTTATTCGAATAATACTGTACAATATGAAAAACTTGAAATAAAATTAAATAAAAATTAATAGTACTTCTATTTGAATACAAAACTCTATTTTAGGTTAATTTTTTATATAAAAAATATATACTGTATGTATATATTGTTATACATGAAACTTTGTTCGTTTAATAAATTTAATGAAGTACAACTGTGGGAACGCTTTTTGAAAAACTATGATAATTATATTGTGTTCTTGCTTTTTCATTTATAAGGATTTCAATTTTTATTTAAAAATAACATATTTTATTTGAAATATTTTTAAGATGGATATTAATCCTTTGTACAGATAATTGTGTGTGAACGACACATAATATAGTAATAACTTATTATAGATCCTTAATCTGGTTTAGCTTGATAGCCCTTTGTGTGAATTAGCTTCTGCACTTTTCACCCAAACTAATCGATAAGAGTGATAACAATTACGATTGATTTTTATTGTATTTCTAAACTTTATTAAAACAATTTAATATGTTTATACAAAATATTATATATATAAAAATATTGAATTATCCTTATTCTCTTCACAGAATCTACAGTTTGCATCCGTAAGTATCCCCAGTATTGTAAGGTAGTGTTTTAATCTACAGTGCCCTGTTAGAATGCCTGTAATGATTCTAAGCTTTTCCTTTGGTAGGTTCATACAATCCTGGTATCACTTATTGTTATAGGTACCAATAAGTGATTTGGATTGTTTCAATCCTAGTATATTATCCCAATTATCCTTTTTATTTCTGTTCTCTTTTATTTTTATGAAAGAAAGTAGCGTATTATTTCCTAGTACACAAGAAGGTTCTAGTACCAACATCGGTGTAGCTGCTCCTTTCCTGGCTAGTTTGTCCGTGTATTCGTTTCCGCGTACGCCAGTATGTCGCGGTGTAACGACACTTTTTCGTCGCTCTGTTTGCCGGGGTAATACTCAGGGGTTGGTCCTGGGTCGTTACAATAAATTTGTATTCACAAGAACAAGACTTCTCAAATAAAAGATTGTGTGTTAAATTTCAATATTTATTTATTATTAAGTTGTCTTAAAACTAACAATGTTTATTCATTTATATTTGATATGTATAAAAATTATTATACCTGTTGTGGAAGAAAAGTTTATGGGTTATAGATGTTATTATCTATAGACGTGTTCACGCCTATATATATATATATGGCTTAGTAAGTAGGAAAGGATCTAAAACGTGTTCACGCTTTATATTAGGTTTTAATAGCAGGATATGAACGTGTTCACGCTTATATTTGCTACTGGGAAAGGATATAAACGTGTTCACGCTTATGTACGGTGGCTATAGGAGGGATAAAACGTGTTCACGCTTTATATTAGGTTTTAATAGCAGGATATGAACGTGTTCACGCTTATATTTGCTACTGGGAAAGGATATAAACGTGTTCACGCTTATATACGGTGGCTGTAGGAGGGATAACAAATCAAAGGAATATTTGTTATGTAAGTCTCTGTTTATACTTAGCTCTGCGACCGACTTTGTATGTTGTGTTTGACTGTCCAAGTCCCTGGTGCGTTCTCTTGTCTTCGAAAGTTGATAACGAGCCTCTGTCTGCTTCTGAACACTTTGCGTGTTGATCACTGACTGCCCTTCTAAGTAAATGCGTCTTCTTATATACGCATCAGACCAAACTTTAACGTAGCGCAAAGCTTAGTTTACAGCTGGCTTGAATTTTTGCCGTCGTTGCAGTTTTGCGCTTTCGCCGTAGTTAATATGCGCGCGCATCAATTTTACCACAAAGCTCTTTGCACAAAAGCTTTTTTTGACGTTTCTTGTGATGTGCATTTGTTTTGTTTTTAAAACGTGTTTAGCTTAGTGTCGGCTTTAAATATTTATATTTATTTATTAAAATAAAATAAATATTAAAAATTAAAAAGTACAAGTTTAAATAATAAATAAATAAGGTAGGTATACAATATTTATTTATTTGAATATATTTTGCATTCTTTTAAATTTTCCATGTAATCTCAGGTTTTATTCAAGTGGTGTGGTTACGTGCATGCGGGGGTGGGTTTATGGTAAGTTATTTACTTTTAAAATATTATATAAAAATTAATCAATTTTTATTTCAGGTATTAACTGCACACTAGTTATATGTAGGTTGGAAATTGGTAAAAATTTCCATCCTTACATTTCCTTCCTTCTTCGGGAAGTGAAGTTAACATGAGATACTACCTGGTGGCATGATTTCGTTTCTTTGGAGTTTTAAAAATTTTGTAAAAATTGTGTTGGTCTCTGATGTGGTGATCATCACCCTTATGTTGATGCATACTTGGATATTTCATCTGTCGCTGCCGATTTTGAACGATGGTTGGATTCTGAGTTCCGTGATAATATTTTCTTGCTTGTGCCGGATAACCGATTACTTTGTCCTTCATGTGAGTAGGACTATTTTTTCCTTGCTGTGATAGTTGTTCCTGTTGACTAGCGTGTTTTATCAAACCTAGTTGTGGTGGTAGTTGGGTAAAACTTATTATTTTATCAATCATTTGAACTTGCGTTGTATTGTGTTTGATGACTTCATCCTTTTGTGTAATTCGTCGTTGAATATCTTGTACTTGTTGCCATGGTATTAGCGAAGTGTTTAAATGTGCTTGTTCTTGAGGTATACAAAGTGATGAAGTTTCTACTACTTCAGTTAATGATGTATGCGGTTGTTCTACGCTTGATTCCATTTGAGGTTTAGTATCTTGCTGTTGTTGAAGTTGTATTTGACCTAGTACCTTTTGTTGATCTTGCTTGTCTCGGAATTGTTTAAATACTTCTGGGTTTTCTTTGATATATCTTGGACCTTGTTGTCGTTGTGCTTTTTGTATTTGTACTGGTAACTTTTGTTGATCTTGCTTGACTCGGAGTTGTTTACATACTTCTGTGTTTTCTTTGATATGTTTTATATTTCGCTGACGTTGTGCTTCTGGGATTTGGAACTCTTGTATCTCTTTGTTTGATATGAGGCATTTACATGGCGTTTGCGCTTGTAAATTTTCTCGCAGTTCTACTGACTGCTGCTCTGGGTAAATTCGACATTGCATGCTTTGTATTATATTTGGCTTGGATAGTGATGCTGTCTTTGAAGTTGCAATTCTATTTATTCTAGCTGGTGTTTGCGCAGCTATCGACTGGTTGGGTTGTTGGTTACTTTGCTGCTGGTTCCAGACAGGTGATACGGGACCTAGACTATAGTTATCTTCAACTCGTACTGGCGTCGTGGATATGAGTCTCATTGTACTCTGTAATGGCATTATTGGTGGGTGCTCAACTATTGTACACATGTGGATAGTTTCTTCTTGAACATGGTCTCGACTCACTTTGTGCTGTGTTGTGTGAAGTTCTTCAAAGTCATCAGCAAGTGTTGCTAACTCATTTAAGCTTGTGAAGTCTTGATGTTTGATGTACACTTTGTAATCTGTCCGCATGTTTCGGTATATTCGCTCCAATTGCGAATCTTGGTTCATGTCTGTGTGTCGCATAAGATATTTGATTTCCAGTACATAATCTTTAAAACTTTCTTGTTCCTTCTGAACTCGTGCTCGCACCTCGTCTTCTAATCTGTCGAAATACCTATGTGGAAGGAAAAATTTTAGAAAGTCCATCTTGAAGCTTGACCAAAGGTTCCAATGCTTATTGTTGTTGCGGTACCACATCAGTGCTTTGTCTTCAAGCAGTATGGGCATCATCCTGGGAACTAAATTCACGTTGATGTCGTCAAGGTCCGCTACCTCTTCTATGCTTTCCACAAAATCTATGGGATCTATTCCTCCATTGTATTTTACAGACCATTTTCGTATCCGCTCCACGGTTTGTGCATACGATAAGGCCATGATGTGCTGCTTATGCGAACGTCTTGTATGTTTCTCTGTTTAACTGGCTTGAATTGGACTACGGATGAAAGTATTTAGATTTTATCTTTTGATCATGTTAGTTTGTGCCATGGTAACGTGGATATTACTTTGATTTAATTTTGAGAAGTCTGTCTGTCCCTGCTCGGGCGCCAATTGTAACGACAATTTTTCGTCGCTCTGTTTGCCGGGGTAATACTCAGGGGTTGGTCCTGGGTCGTTACAATAAATTTGTATTCACAAGAACAAGACTTCTCAAATAAAAGATTGTGTGTTAAATTTCAATATTTATTTATTATTAAGTTGTCTTAAAACTAACAATGTTTATTCATTTATATTTGATATGTATAAAAATTATTATACCTGTTGTGGAAGAAAAGTTTATGGGTTATAGATGTTATTATCTATAGACGTGTTCACGCCTATATATATATATATGGCTTAGTAAGTTGGAAAGGATCTAAAACGTGTTCACGCTTTATATTAGGTTTTAATAGCAGGATATGAACGTGTTCACGCTTATATTTGCTACTGGGAAAGGATATAAACGTGTTCACGCTTATGTACGGTGGCTATAGGAGGAATAAAACGTGTTCACGCTTTATATTAGGTTTTAATAGCAGGATATGAACGTGTTCACGCTTATATTTGCTACTGGGAAAGGATATAAACGTGTTCACGCTTATATACGGTGGCTGTAGGAGGGATAACAAATCAAAGGAATATTTGTTATGTAAGTCTCTGTTTATACTTAGCTCTGCGACCGACTTTGTATGTTGTGTTTGACTGTCCAAGTCCCTGGTGCGTTCTCTTGTCTTCGAAAGTTGATAACGAGCCTCTGTCTGCTTCTGAACACTTTGCGTGTTGATCACTGACTGCCCTTCTAAGTAAATGCGTCTTCTTATATACGCATCAGACCAAACTTTAACGTAGCGCAAAGCTTAGTTTACAGCTGGCTTGAATTTTTGCCGTCGTTGCAGTTTTGCGCTTTCGCCGTAGTTAATATGCGCGCGCATCAATTTTACCACAAAGCTCTTTGCACAAAAGCTTTTTTTGACGTTTCTTGTGATGTGCATTTGTTTTGTTTTTAAAACGTGTTTAGCTTAGTGTCGGCTTTAAATATTTATATTTATTTATTAAAATAAAATAAATATTAAAAATTAAAAAGTACAAGTTTAAATAATAAATAAATAAGGTAGGTATACAATATTTATTTATTTGAATATATTTTGCATTCTTTTAAATTTTCCATGTAATCTCAGGTTTTATTCAAGTGGTGTGGTTACGTGCATGCGGGGGTGGGTTTATGGTAAGTTATTTACTTTTAAAATATTATATAAAAATTAATCAATTTTTATTTCAGGTATTAACTGCACACTAGTTATATGTAGGTTGGAAATTGGTAAAAATTTCCATCCTTACAGCGGTAACCAAAAAATCGACACCTGATTTAATTAGCCAAGCAGATTTAGCTTATCAAGGCAGTCTAGCACCAGTCTTGAGGTCACCTGAATCAAGATTACATCGCATGAAAGTTGTGACCTGTAATGCAAATTCCATAACAAACAAGAAACAGGAAGTTATACAATTTCTTCATGATTTCGAAACAGACAATATGGTTCTGCAATAGACTTTCCTTAAACCCTTAATGCAGCTAAAAATCCCTAACTACATCATTGACATATCAGACATGGTCTAAAGAAGAGGAGGGGCACTGCTATCCTTATTAGGAGAAACATCAACCACTACCTCAGAATTAACAACTTACAATCGCTCGAAGCTACTACTTAAATGCCCAACGGATAATATCATCTTTACCTCAGTTTATACACCGCCAAACGTGAAAACCTACCTAATGGACCTAGCAACACTGATCAGTAACAACTTACCCACATTCCTTACTGAAGACTTGAATAGTTATCACAGAAACTGGGGTGATAGAAGTACGAATAGGGCCGCAAGAAAAATTTTCCAGTTTGTTGTAACCATCATATGCTACAACTCCATACGCGTAACGAGCCAACTCACTACGGCAGTGGAGCAGGCCATATGTTGTTGGTGTTATAAGCCGCAGGACCTGTAAGCAGATAAACATGAAAGGAAACACAAGACGATTACATGCGTAGGGAAATAGGATAAAAGTTAGTTGGGTAATGAAGGAGAAGGAGGAGGAAGAGTAGGGAAGAGGTATATATAAATCATCATCCTGGATCCAGCCGGAGAAACCTGGCCACTTCAATGGGGTGAGTCCAAAGGTTAATTGGACGAAGATTTGTGTGTGCAGAAATACATGAAAACAGATGGGCGACGTCATGGGGAGAAGAACTGCAGTTGGGGCACACATTGTGGATGGACGTATTTAAGCGAGACAAGTAATTGTTTAGCACTCGGCTATGTCCTGATCTCAATTGAGCAAGAACAGTTCTTGTTGCACGAGGAAGAGAGCGTTCATCCGAGGAGATTTCAGGCGGAGACCTATTAAAAACCTTGTTGTCAGACAACCCAGGTCTAGAAGAAGATACTGCATCGGTGTGTTGAGAGCCGTAAGTCCACGTTTATATTCGACCTCACTGATGTTAGCTCCGTTGCAAAAGGTATCGATAGAATTATTAAAAGAAAGGAGAGATCGACGAATGCATCTAGAAGGGAAGGCACTACTAGCCATGACGCCATTGGGGTGACCATCTATGTGGCACGCGAGAAGATATTGCTTGGACAGTAGATAATTGTGCTCTTTTACAAGAAGCATTTTTGATTCTGCATGAAGGTGGTCGTCATGCGACATGCTATGGCAACCAGTTACAACCCGTAATGCCGTGTTTTGACATGATTGGATTTTGGTCCATTGCATCTCGCAGAGTTGTGGGGTCCATACTGGAGCTGCATAGGCCGCAATAGGACGTCCTATTGCTTTGTATGTACTCAGTAGGGTTTCTTTATCTTTGCCCCATGAACAACCTGCGAGAGCTTTTAACACATTATTACGCGATTTCAGCCGGTCACACATAGCAGACGCATGTGCAGAAAAAGTCAGCATACTGTCGAGTACGACACCCAGGATTTTAGGTTTGGTGGTGGTAGGGATCCTGATTTCACCGATATTTATGGGCAGAGTCAAGAATTCCTCTTTAGCCCAGGAAGTAAAGAGGGAGGATTAGAAAGTGCTTTAATGGTAGTCCACAATTTACCATTTTGGAGGTCGCAATTATCTAAATGTTCCTTCCATTTACTAAGGCGATAATCGTCCACCATTTTACGGATGTTATTGTTCAGGATTTTTATGTGTGGATTGGTTGGGTTCAATCTTCGAAGATTGCCGCGTTCTTCAGCAAGAGGCACAGCGTCACTAGGAAAACCTGGTCTAATGGTTTTAATTCTACCTGCTGGGACGGCTGTGGCGGCAGCTTTGATAATTATGCTGCGAAATTGTTTCTCTGCCTTGTTCAAATCAGAGGACAGGGAACTGTTGCTGAAGTCGCGTTCTGAAATATCTTTGAAAAGGGCCCAATTCGCTTTTTGAAATTCCTGTAGGTTTTCTTGTCAGCCGCAGTGAGGACCTCGATCGATGGAATAGAAATTGTGATGGGAGTGTGATCAGAGCTTAAAGCTATATCAACACTCCAATTCGAGGCAGCGAGAAGCCGAGGGCTTGCGAGACTGACATCAGGAGAGCTGGAACAAGTTGGCGTTACCCTAGTGGAGGAGTTCTCATTTAGAACACTAAAAGAGGGAATGGTGTGCATTCAAATCACCCAGAACAAAACGCGAGTCCTCATCTAGAAGATGTGAAATATTTGGGGTGTGCTGCGGAGGGCAGCTAGAGTTGGGTAGCTAATATATATTGATTAGTTCAAGGAACCTTAAAGACCTACCAATGAAAATTTTTAACCCTATAATCTCCAAGTATTCGTCATTAGACGAGGGCAAAGAAAGCTCAAAATGATATGTAGAATCCCGCAACAGAAAAGCAACGCCACCTCCTGCGCCTCTAGGTCGACCTTTACGAATAAGTGTAAAGCCTGAGGGGGGAAAGAGAGGGGAGTTGGGCAAAAGTTTAATCTCCTGCAGTGCAGCTACTGCAATGTTGTTGGAGAACATGAATGCTGCAATTTCAAATAGTTTCCTTCTTAGACCATTACAGTTGAACTGTAGAATTTTGAGAGGGGATGAACAATTAATTACGGAGACTACGCTAGTGCGTTGCAGGTGTGAGTGGTTTTGTGGTGGAATAATAGGCGGAGTTTGGCAGCAATTGCCAATGAAATTTGAATTCCAACCATGATGCGAGACCAATCCGGAGCAAGGTCTAAGGTGACACCAGCCATTACAAGAATTGCAACGGACGGAGATGGTGTTCCTAGAGATTACTCTTTTACACACAGTGTAAAGCCAAGTGGTAGGAGAATTAGAAGAGGCATTGGTTGGAGAAGGACTGCCAAAGGTCGACGAAGAAGGAGATTGTCTATGTAGAGGTGCTGAAGGACAGCAAGTTCTTTTAAAAGCAGGATTCCAATCACTTGAGGAGTCCTATTGGGGGATGTTAAACGATTCTTGGTCGTCGTTGATGACGAGTGGCTCCGGGACGTAGACTCGACCGTTTGTGGAACCAAGCAGGCCATATAATAGACATGCCAAGGCCATATAATAGACCTCGGCATGTCCAACCTAGATTATACCGTGCATATGAAAGTTTTAGATGAGCTAGACTCTGATCATAAACCGGTTCTATTCATTCTTCCCATAAACTGTCCCATGAACACTATGACCCCTACGTTATCTACCAGCGACTGGAACGCGCTCAAGAACTTAGTAGACGTTAGCTGCATCAAAAACCATCCAGAAGCCTTAGAAAAATTGGATAACTGTATACAGAACCTGGCCCATCTATTAAAGCATGCCTTTGATAGCTCCACCCTCAAATATAGGAAACCATACAGTTATTTTAACTTACCGCAGCCTTTTAAAAACATGATTAGAAATCAAAATAGAATCCGGAAATTTACTCAAATAACTTGTGACCCGGAGAGCAGAAGGGAGGCCAACCGTCCTTCAAATGAAATCAGGAAAAAGATTTATATATTTAAAAACGTGAAATAGGGTGAATTTCTCAACGGCCTTGGAACAGCCTTTTGGGTCATAAATAAATACTTCAGCCTGAAGCGTAAACCAGTAATACCACCCATCCATAGAGGAACAGGCTTGGTATATACAGATTTAGAAAAAGCCGTGACCTTCACAGACACCCTTGAACTTCAATTCCAGCCCAATGAAGACTTAGAATATGACTCAGAGGAAGAAGAACGCATCTCCGAGGAGGCAAATAATATTTTGGATCAGGAGCCAGATGATGGCACTGCAGTATGCAGTAACGAAGAAATCTCCCAAATTATAGCGAGATTGAAGATTAGGTCGGCACCTGGCCATGATATAATTAACAACAGATGCCTACGTAACCTGCCAGAGAACGCAATCCAGCTTATCACTAACATTATTAATTGTATGCTCAGGCTAGATGAATTTCCTAAGACCTGGAAGCTGGCCACAGTCATTGTCTTCCCTAAACCGGATAATAATGACCTGTCCAAGGCACTTCAACTAGCTAGAACGGCGGAAATGATTCAAACAGCCCTTAGTGGAAGAAAGTCGACTGGAAAGATCATTTTTGATATTTATAAAGCTTTTGACAAGGTCTGGCATGATGGCCTGATAGTAAAATGTCTGATCTAGGTGTTCCAGGCAGGCCAACTAAAATCATCGGCAGCTTCTTACGTGAGAGATCCTTTCGCACGAAAATCAACAGCAATCTCTCGTCAATCAGAAGCAGGGGTTCCTCAGAGATCTCCATTTTTCCCACTCTCTACAACATTTATACATCTAATATCCCAATGTTAGGTCCATCGATTTTGGTGTTATACGCTGACGACACGTATATGCTACACCTGGATAAATGTGCTCTCAACATAAGCAAAACATTTCAAGAGCATGTAGACGTCAAGATTGATCCGATCAAAAACTACATAAAGGATAGAGCCCTGAAATTATTTACGAAAACTGATAGACTTACTAACACCGCGTTATCGAATCTTAGAATGGTTACGGGCTCCTCGAAGAGGTATGCAGATCTAAGCGTAATTATTGGTAAGTCTGATGAAGTGATAAGATTGATCAAGATTAAGATTGATCCGTTCAAAAAATATATGAAGGATATGGACCTGAAATTATTTACGAAAACTGACAGACTTACTAACACCGCGTTATCGAATCTTAGAATGGTTACGGGCTCCTCAGAGAAGTATGCAGATCTTAGGTTAATTA